TTTTTTTTAGATTACACAAATAAAAATCATGGAATAAATTTAATCCAATGAAATGGTTGTTATCCCATAAAAGAATAGATTTCAATTGTTAAAAAAATCAACCAAGCTTTTTTTTTCTTAATTAAAAGAAAAAAAGATCCTTCACAAAAGCCTTCGATTATTTAAAATCTTTTGTCCTGAACTTTTCCTTGTGTTTTTTTTCATCTATCGCTATAGAAGAATAAGCTTCATGCGAATATCAAAAGTCATTTACAAATTTCAATTGTTTTAAGAAAAATCAACCAAGCTTTTTTTTTTCTTAATCAATTGATGTATTTTATTTGTTTTTCCCAAAAGGAAATTTTTTCATTAATCAACGATTTTATTGTTTTCTTCAAAAGGAAATCAGATCATTCACTATCCTTCAAATGGTCAAAATCAAAGTTTTTTCTTATCCAGATCACCCAAAATTTTTAATTCAACACAAACAATCAAAAAAATTTTGCGCATATTGTTTTGTTTATCATTTTTTTTTAATTTGACAAAATGAAATAAAACGTTTTTGAAACCCAGTCTTGTGACCAGAAAATATCACTAACATGTTGTGCGACAAGCCCTTGACAATCTGAGGTAAAGATCCCAAGACAAGACCATCAGTTTTTGGTCATTTTGAATGGTCCGAAACATTGGAGCAAGACAAAGACCTAACGGTAGACAGCGGTTGACATCATGCAAAAAACATCTAAAGTGAAACATGATTTCCTTTTGGTCAAATATCTGTTTCGCTCAACCCTGACATTTTGAACCAAAACAGATAAGTTTTTCAGCTTCACAAATCATGACAAGAGATGACAATTGGGGTTCACACAATATGGTGATGTAAAATAACCACAACCACTTATCATTTTTTTGGAAAACGAAAATATTCCTGTTCAAATTTCAATTTTATTAATTAAGGGTAGGGTAAATCACGTGTCAATTTATATGTAGATCCGGGCTCAAAAATCCAAATTTATGCACGTTACATAGAACAGGAGAGATCGTCCTATAGTGCAGGACACCTAGTCCCACAACTTTTTATTGGTCTTGTATATCCTTTAGTATACCAGAAATGGAAATGT